ACTGTTCTGTATGTTGGAAATATAGACGACACTAACTTTATAGAATCGATCTTGATTGTTTTCGATTGTTTGTTGAACGAAAACGTTTGCTTAAGGAACAAAAAGAACTAGTGACCGAGTAAAGTTGGCTGGCAGCAGAGTAATCATAATTAAAATGCAATATATATATAAAATCGAATATCAATCGACTAAAACCAACATGTAATTCTAATATTACTGTTGTCTCTTATCGCCTATAATTAGTAAACAAGGTAAATCAATGAAGTTCATAAAACACTCCTAGACAAAGTAATTAAAAACAAAAAACGTTCTTTCCTTGTTGCTTTTAGACATGTCTCACAGAATGAGAAACACTTTGAAATTTCATTTCATTCTAAGAAACTGCTTGCAAATAGTTCTGATATTGAGTAAACCCCACACTATGAATTTTAAGACAGTGATGTTTATTTTTCATCAAGAAAAACCAATTACTACCCATTTCAATATGTTCATCAATGTCTAGTGATATGTGAATGGTGTGAGTTTTTTCTATAAGTTTATCTACTGTAGAATCAATTTATGTCAGACATACACATTTCATAGATCAAACGAAAGCGCAACGTTTCTTTTGTTCACTTCTATTCATCGGATCGTTTACAGTTTGTTTTGTCCGTTATTTCCTTTGGACATTTGACTCTCCTCAATGTCATTGTGGGATTGTCAGCATTTTTAAACCAGTCGAAACGCCATTGACATCCCGATTGTAATTGTGCTGGCAACTGAGAGCACTCTGAACGTTGACGAATACCTCCATATCGAGCGCCCCAGCCGTCGGAAGGAGCACCAAATTGTCTACTGCAACCATTAAATATGCCCACACCACCACCAGGTATTTGTAAATCAAAATGATTTCCTCCGAGATCACCACCAGTATTTGTGACTTGTACAATCAACTCCTGACCAACAACTGGGCCAGAGGTAAAGATCAATGAATAACAACCACAACACCAACTAGATTCAGATTGTCCTGAAAGTGTAATTGAACGTTATAGAACGTGGTCCAGTGTGACAGAATTTAATTTTTTCGCATTCTGCAATTTATAACTCGCGCACGGCGATAGCAAACCTTCTGAAATTTTTATCATAGGTAGAAGAACCATGAGTTCTACTACCAAAAAAATTTCACTGAAATTAGTTGAGCCATACAAAAGTTATTGAAAAAATGGAGACCGTGACGGAATTTCAAAAAATGGAATTGTTTTCGGACGTTTAGAGACTTTTGTATTTTTCTTCAGATTGAGCAGTGGTACAAAAAGATGTTCTAGGTGGAAGTTATTCAGTTTTTAACGAGTTTTTAGAATATCTATCTGGTTTTCGCAACAGATTGCTGAGTCAAATAAAAATCTCGAAATATGCTTCGTGACAGAAGTTCATTCTTTTTTGTATGGTTTCGATGAAGAAGGTTAAACTTAAATGAGAAGATATTCAGAAAAAGTTATTTTTAATAGGAATATATAGACTTACACGTCTGCTGATGCAATATGAAATAAAGTTAATAAACTTGTTAACTCATCGAAAAAGTGATTGCAAAAACTGGTTTCCCAGAAAACTCTGTTGACTCTAAAAGCTGTTATAAGCATCATAACTTCGAAAAAAATAAGCCATTTTGTAGAGAAGTGAATTCTCTATCGATATTCATAGTTCTGAATTTTATTCAAGAAAATCTCTAGGCGAGGAAATTGAAATTAAAAAATTTTAAAATTAAAACTTTTCCCTTTAAAAAAATTTACATCCTGAGATAGGGACTGAAGTATCTGTGGTAGAAAACCCACTAACAAATTTATACTTTTTCGATTTTTTCGATCCTATAATCACGTTTAACAGCCAAAATTAGCTATATCCTGAAGTTTTGAACTCGTTCTGATGTTTATTGAGTGAATAGTGAATT